GGAAACGGCACAAGCTGGAAGTTTGCCTCATGGCAGTAAAAATTCTATCACGTGTGTTGCGATGTATGGAGACATGCTGTGATACATGGCACAGAATGCGAACATGTGGCTCTATACCACATGTTGCAGCACATTTGCTACATGCTGCATCATATGGTCTAATCTACCTAGAATTGTCATTTTGTTTTTTTTTTTACTTTTGAGCTTTGTATTTGTCATCATTTTGCTTTCATTGTGTAATAATACAACTATTAACCTGTTGAAATAGTTTTCCAAAAGAATTTAGGTGGGATCCTATTCTTTTAAAATGTATTCCTTATTGAACTTGTGTGATTTAATGAGTTGGTTCATAATGTTAAAAGGGCATTACACTTGGCTTTCCAATTAATTGACATACATTTGTATAGGTTAGATGTAATTTGATTACTAAATAGTTGTACTCACTCTTCTCTATTTAATATCACAGGAGCTAGCTCATCAGGGTAAGATCAAGGAAAACAATTTGAGGCTTAGGACATTTATTCTAATTTGTATGCCTTAGCTATTTTGAATTTATGTGTATATTATTTATGATATTGCCAACTAGAAGACATCATATTTTGACTTACTTGCACTACGTGATTGGCTAAATTGTGTATTTTGAATCTTAGGTTGTATACATATTAATTGTGAAATCTAGAATAGGGCTAAAATACTAGTGTAAGTGAGAAATAAATAAAATATGTGATTGATATAGAATGAGGTGATGATTTATGAATTCGAGGCTCCCCATTTCTATTCTTATTTTTAAGGGTTGAGTAGTAAAATTATGAAAGATATATTAATTGTATGTTGTGGTGTATTAAATAAGTGTCTGTGAGTTAATTGAGTATGGTTTAAGGTAAAACTTAGGCTTTTGGCACTTAGGTTGAAATTAAGACACTCAAGTTGTGTTTTGTTTATGAAAGGAGTGAGTTGAAAAATGGGTGTTTAAATTTTGATTGAGAAATAATTTGATTGTAAAACTAGTGCCATTAGCTAAAGTTAAAAAAATGCTCTTTGTAGATATCTAGATTGTCTTAGTCGGGCATTAGACAAAAAAATAGGGCACGACATGGCTCATTAGAAGTTTGCCTCAGGTACTATCATTTGACAGTTCTATTACATAGCACAAAGAGCAATGTGCCACAGCACACGTATATCATGCCCCATCGCACCATTGCTTTTTTGTATTGTTTTGCAATTTTCTAACTAAAATGGAAATGCTTTAATATACATTAGTATCCTATGCTTCTGCAGACATTTTTTACTTTGATTTTTCATTTATAAAAGCATATTGGAGTATTTGAAAAATTTGAAAATTTGAGATTTCATTATCTTAAATTTTACAAACTTGATAATCTATCGGGCTTAGTCCTTAATTACCAAGATTCTTGGAATTAAATGTGTATTAACAAGGGAGACCTTACAGCATAATTAGCATCTCCAATTAGGGTAATAGGTGAGGGTTTTTTCATTTTCCTATTAGGGGCAAAATAGTTTTTTAATCTTATTTCCATATATTTAATATGCATGCTAAACGAAAAAGACACATGGATTTTGTTTAATTTTCAAGATATATCAAACATATTTTTAAACCCACTTTCCATTTCTATTTTTATTTTCATTTTCATATCCATATTCATTTTCATTTTTATCAAAAATATTTTCAGTATACCAAACGAGTCCTTAGGGTCCGATTTTTACTCTCACATAGGTTAATTGGACCTAAGGGTTATCCAATTATCCTAATTAATTCAATGAAGATCAAGATTAATTAACTTAACTCTTTAATTAATTTTGATTAATTTTATTTTAAATTTTGAAATGTTACAATGCATGCATCCCACGTAAAGATATATATACTCCTTACTTTTAATTTTGTGTAAAAATTAATTATTTTGTAGCCTTATTTTTCTTTATAATTTTTTATTATTACACTGTTTTTCTAATTATTATTGATATATTCTATGTTTTTAATTTTTATAATATTTTTTTAAAATTTTTAAATTGGATTTTCTAACTTTATAAGTTTATATCAGGTAAAGAAAGTTTTGTGAGAAATATGTTTTAAATAATTTTAATTATATATTTTGTTGATTTCAAAAATTATTAACATATTTTTTAAACAATATTTTCGAGTTGGGCCAAACATGGCTTGAACCTTTAGGCGGCCTTGTCCTTGTAAAAATCTAAACTATATTGATACATCTAATTGGTTCAACATGTCCTTTACATCATTATTAATCGTCAATGAAGCATTGTCAATTTTCACAAGTTTGTGTTTTCAAATAATCATGTTAATTTTTAAGTTATGTCACCTATATTGTTAAAAAAAGTTAACATTGACCATTAATTAACCATAAAATTATAGAGAATGATCTCAAAAATTATAAAAAAAGAACAAGAAAATAACAAAACAAACAAGGGCCCAAAAATTTACAAAAAAGGACCAAGAAAATATTCTTAGTTATTTTTTTAAATTTTTTTGTTGATTAATAATTAAAGTTAACATTTATTTATGATAGGGATAATATTATACTATTTACAAAAGTTGAAAAGAAACATTATACAAAAAATAAGCTTAAGGTTCCAGATACTTTTAAACTTATAGTTCAATAGCTAATTTTTCATTTAACTCTAATTTTTAATCAACCACAGGATCACATAATTACCTTTTTTCCATGCATTACCAATTCTTTTTCCCATATAATTTATAAACATGAATTCATTTTTTTATTTTTTGGAGTAAAAGGGAAATTCTTTAATCAAAAGATATGTATAAATGGGTTCCAAAATACACAAGGAAAGGCTAGTTAAGTCATTAGATCAACAGATCTCATAAGGTCATGAACTTTAGTGATATGTTCAACTAAAGTTCAAATAGCATTAACTATGTTCCCAGATGCACGAGTCTCCTTGTTGAATATGCACTTGTTTCTACTTAGAGCTTCCAAATGAGCATTCCAAAAACGGGTTTCCAGTGAGTGCCCATATTGAGGGTTAAGATTCCATAACAACCATGCTTTAAATGGTTTATTAAAGAATTCAAACAACCTGCTTTAAGGTATCATCTTTAGCTAGCAAGCTTCAGCTACTCTGCATTTTCGAAGGATATGATCTGCATCATCCACATCCATATGACTATAGTACGCTTCGCAAGTTGCATCCTATAACATTCCTCTGCTCAAACACTCTGCATTAATAAGTAGTCTATTCTTCATAGTCACCAAAGAAAAGTTTTGGTGCTGAATTCCTGGCCATTTCCATATTCAGTCCATCATCTGTCATGTTCATTCCAGTAGTCCTCTTGCAAGGCATTATATGTTGATGCTACCGTAAAATCCCTATTAGATGTGAGGTTCCAGTAGCGTGTGTCATTCCATTCTATTGCTGCGGGAGTGACATCTTTTCAAGCTGCACGTTAATAGAGGCAGAAATGTTGGAAAAGATTTTAACGCTAACACTTTAACTGTTCCACGTAATCAAATATTGGTCTTGTTAAATCACCCTTGGCTACATCAGTGAAAGTTAAATGCCTATAAGGTCCCATTTCGTTGACTCAATTCTCAAGCCACAAACAAATGTGCTTACCATCACCTGGCTGTCAAGTAACATTTAGTTCTGTGCTTTTTTGCAACTTTTCCACCCCATACCAAGTGTATGAAGCACTTTTACTCTTAAATTCAAACTTGGAGCTTTGAGGCTAGCCATACTTTGCTTTTTAAAACTTGCACCTAAAGATGATTATAACATCCTAAATTTTTAATCCTAAATTTCATAAGTTAATGAAAGATAAATTAGTAAAATTTTGCATTAATTAAGTCGAAAAGGTTTTTGGATGACTAACAACTTATAGACTTGTTCGACAATTTTGGAATTGAGTTATGAACTATATTGAGCGACTTAGGCCCAATAGGAGGAGCAAAATTTTGACTTAAGCTTGTTGTACCATCCACTAATGCATCACAATAGATTGCCCGAAATATGATATATTTAAATGTTGCTTGCAAGCTAGAAAGAAAGGGGAAAATGTGAAGAGCAGTGGGCGCATGTCTTTGGTCCATTAGGGTTCATGGATATCCACTCAACCTCCAATCACCTTAATGATTAGATTTTTCCCATTCATCTCCCTCTCTTCACTTTTCTATAGTTAATGGGGAAGGGAAGATGATTCCAGAAGTTTAGGGGAAGTTTGCTGAACCTATTGATTCCAAAGGGATTATTAAGAGTTTTTTTATGTTTCTAAAGCAAGGGTCACTAATTTTGTAGAGGTATATCATTAGGCTCTTGATTTTGGACGAACTCTAAAGCTATAATAGGTGATTTGAGTTGTTTGGAGTTATATATTGATGATGGTTGAGTTAATGAGAGTTGATTAGAGCTCACAAATATCCTAAATGCTTAAGTGAAGAAGAAAAATGAGGAATGTGAGTTGGAGATTAAAGATACTTATAATTATATAAGTTTGTATTATTATTTATTATTGATTATAATTGTTATAAAATTGTAGACTAATTGTATTGGACACCATTTGACCATGAAGTTAAGCTCATGGAAGCAAATAATTGAGGGTAAAATTGTTGGTAAAGATTTAAGGTAATTGAAAAAAAATTAATTGCTGTATTTGCTTATTTGGTTAATTAAGATGCTTTTGTGAAATTAGAAATGAATTTTTTTTTTTATAATCATGAAATGTTGATATGCTTTGGAAATTTTATGCAAGTGGAATAAATTTGTGAAAATGTGATGAGTACCATGATATTCATGATTTCTTTAACCATATTTTGATAAGAGGGCTGTGCTTGCATGTGTAATCTTAGAATTCAGACTTAAAAAACTAGTCTTAATAGACTCCGTTTTAAATGAGCTTAGATGGACAAGCCTTGCGTCTAAGCTCGTATATATATTTTTTATTTTTTATTTTTTATTTTTATTTACTAAAGACAAAGCTAAATCTCATTGTTATCCTAGCCTCATGACTTCAGCTTCAGACTTGCAGCCTCCACATTCAGATTTCAGACATTCAGTCCCTTACGGGTTCACCGCCAGTGGCCTACACGTCTTCAGACTTCAATCTTCTGTGTCTTCGACTTCGCTCATCTCTCTTCACTCTTCAGTTTTCGCCATCGGCTTCACCTTCGTCGTCAATCTTCAGTCCCTCACGATCACGGCATCGCTCTTCTCTGTTCTCTCCCTCGCAAGTCGCAAGCACTCGACCTCGCGCACTTGAACCGAACAAGAGAAGAGTTGAGAGTCCAGAGTCCAGAACCACAGCGATGGCAGTTCCAGTCTTCCAGATTTCGATCTAGTGCTCTCAATCAGCAATTGACTTCCGAGGAGGAAACTTTCGCAGTTTAGCTACCGTTCACTCTCTCCTTTGTTTCTGACCACAGCTCGGAACTGACGAGAACTCTTGTACTGTAGCAATCTCTTGCTCTATTTGCTTCGTTGAATCTTCCCCTCTGCACGTTGTGCATGGTCCTGCCGGTGGAGATGGAGGCTCAGAGTCATTTTCAAGTTGACCTCGGTCACCTCATGGTGTTCAACCCTAACCATAACTTCTCTTCTCAGCCTTCTTTCAGGTTCTGTTATTTTGTACCTCAGTTCGTGTTTTCTCTTATCTAATCCTTGTAAGTTCCCCTCCTTTTTTTTTTTTCCAATTTGTTTTTTTTATTGAGAACGCTGTGCATTTTTTTTTAACTTTATCCTTGTGATTAGTTTTCTTTTTTTTCGTTGTCTTCATTTGTGGTTGATTGTTTGATGCTTGCTGTTGGACCCCCGTTATGTAATTGTAATTGTGACTTAGTTACTTATTAGGAACTAGCCGTTAGGTTAGTTATGAGAGAGCGAGCCATATGGGAGAGGGGTCTCTCCATTTTTTCCTCTCCATTTTCCTCCATTTCTCCAATCCCCACCATTTAAATTATTTTATTAAATAATTTTTTTACATGATAAAATTAATGAATGGTGGAGATGGGGAAAATGGAGGAAAATGGAGGAAAAAAAAGTGGAGAGACCCCAAATCCCATATTAGAAGCCTATAAATACTTGTTATCTCATTGTAAATCCCATGCTAAGTCATCAATACAATTTGCATATTATTCAATGAACCCTCTTGTCTCTTTATTACTCTTTCTCTCAATCTCTCTATTCTTCTCTCTTCTCTGTTCTTCTCTCCAATCTCTCCTGTTCTTCTCTATTTTCTCTTTCATACAGAATTACAATTCTGTATCAACCCCCGTCAACTCTTTTGTCACTTTCCCTGGTTGATTTGGAAAAAAAAAAAAGTAATCATAAACATAATTTGGCATAGCGTCATACCCGAATACAGGGAAGAATTGCAAAATTGAGTGATCTTTAGGGAACTTGGCATTTCATGTGGAGAGGCGAAAGTAATTAAACTTCAATATGTATAATGCCTATCCATTTTTAATTCGTCTAAAGTTGCCTTTGTTTGAAGGTTTGTAAAGAAACAGTGAGTTTACGTTGTAATATTTTATAGATTTTAACTGGCCCGCTAGTCAGTTCTGATGGTTGATCACTCCTTTTTCTCCTTATCTTCTATGTCATTATATTGTTTGTATATCCTTCTCGTGGTTCCTACTTCCTATTAGCATATGACAAGGAGGCTCATTACTTATTGCCTTTGGTGAACCTTTTTGTATTCAATGAACGCAGGGAGGAGCTGGTGAACGAATGTCTGCAAAAGGGCACTGAGTTAGTTCAAGCTATTGCAGATAGTCTCTTTCATTTACCATCTACAGAAGACATAGATGGACCGCTTGTCAAGCTACCACCGCCAGTGACACGATTGCCTAGAGAGAAGCATGTAAGTTCTTTTACTTCATACTTGGACAAAGAACAAAGAATTTTTTTTTTTTAAAAGTAGCTTTTTGGAATCAGATGTAAATCATATGTTCATGTGCACTTCTAGCCCAAAAGCCTCACAATTTGAATCTTTATCTATGATGAATTGCAATTTTCACTGCAAGGAAAGTTAACTTCTCCTAGCATGTAGAGTAGATGGATAATGGATTTACTGAAAGTTCTCTTGAAAATTTTTTAGTCACCCTTTAGACAGTATATTTCTATGTATTGACTTTTGTGACATCTAGCATTGCTTTGAAGCAACAAGACTACCATATTAAAATTGGTTCTATGAGTAATTGTGTTGAACTATATCCAGACAAGAAAGAATCAGATAATCTATTCTTCCTGTCTTTGTTGTATTTAATTCATTAGTTTAGAAGTTTGTTTTTATGTATAACAACAACAGGCCTTATCTTACTAGGTGCATGATGCCATTGTGCTTTATCATCAACCAAACTTTTGGGAATATTATTAACTAAGAGATTTCGTTCAACAACTTTCATAGAACTATGTATTTCCATGTAAACTCTGTAAAAATGATTTTGTTTTAAAGAAGTAATGAAAGGAGCTTCAGTAGAGTTATAAAATTTCATAGTGAAATGATATGTAATTTGAAACAATCACCCAGGTATTGTTTATCTTTAATTCAATTCCATGACTCTGTTATTTTGTTTTTTGGTTTTGTATTCCTTGCAAAAGCATTTTTTGCTCATGAAGTGTTATAATGTTTCCAGCTTCCAAGGCCAAAGCCTCCAACAAAATGGGAACTATTTGCCCAAAAGAAAGGTCAGTCATCCCACATACGCCACAAACAAATTACAAGTTATTTATGTGGTAGAGAACTTTAATACATTGTTGTTACCTTGTGCTTTTATGCTTTGATGTAGTGAAATTAGGCCTTGTTATTTCCTAATCTCAACAAATAAACTCTATTATGTTGCTGTAAAGGCATACAAAAGCGCAAGAAAGACAAGATTGTATACGATGAGCAGTCTGGAACCTGGAAACGCAGATTTGGATATGATCATGCAAATGATGAAGAGGCTATACCTATTATTGAGGCAAAACCAAATGATGGTAATTATTTTTTCTTTTTTTTTTCGGAGCTGTCATGTAAATCACTCAAACTATATATTTACTTCACGGTCAAACACAAGTGGCACTGTTTTCACTTTACTGTTTGGCACCAATCTATGTATTAGAATAATATTTTTAATTTTAGAGAAGTCATGACAAATATGAGAAAGAACAGTTTGACATTCAAGAATCAGTAATTTGGAAATAATTGGAATCAGAGCACTATAGATAAAATGATAAATTGTAAGATCAGAACTATTAGTGGAATAGACATAATGACAGGTTAAGTGGTAAATCATAGGACATTTTTCTGTGTTTTGAGCTTTGTTTTTTTTAAATTAGGAAATAATACATTATTACATTGCTTACTTCTGATAATTTCTAAGTTATTTTTACTCCAATACTGTAAAAATAAAAGTGTTATTTAAACTAAGTCATTCTGAATTTCTTCCCCTACTGAGCTTTGTCAAACTAATTTGTCTTTTTCCCCAACTAAAACTTGACTTTTGTTTTGATTACAAACAGTTATTTTCATAAACCATCTTTCATCAAGACCTGCGACTGCATAGGATTTAGCGAATAATTATATATTCACTTTTTATTTTTATGTGTCAATTTTAATATAACATTAAATAAATATGATGTTAATATATGTTAGTATGAGTTTTGTATTTTTTGTATTATGTAATTATTTAATATTTATCATTAGTTATGCATAACAACATTTAGAATTGGAATTTATTGCAATTTCTTAACTATATGTTGTTTTGCTCTTGTTTCGTCAAGAGCTTTGATAACACTTGATCAATAAGTACTGCCTGATTGTTAATATGAAATGTTTTTTGGGACATATTAAGGTTCATGACTGAAAGTCAGATGTTGTGTAGAACAACACATCTTTGTAATTTTTTAATCTTACGTTAAAGGAACTATGGGGCTTAATTGGTGGAATGGACTTACTGGCATAGGCTTAGTATCCCAATTATTGATAGCTGATGGGATGGGATAGGTTAGGATGGTTTGGAGCCCATTTTCACTCATCCTACGTGACAATTTTAAGATTCCTGCTCAGGTTGGACTGGATTGAGTTCTCTCTCTCTCTCTCTATCTATCTATCTGTTCATTTCCCTCTTTCTGAAAATCCTCAACATGTGCTGATTTGTTTTGGAAGATTTAGCATCGGAAGGGAGTATAGTGAATTCCTCTCCTCAAATCCACCTCACACCGTTGATGACATTGTGATGTCTAAACAGTGGATAGTGGTGAATTATCATCTTTTCATTCAGTCTGGATGGATGAGTTATTTCCTCCATCCCATTTGACCTCAATATGATTGATGAGCCCATTCCAGTGTCCAGTCTCCTCAAAACTCCCAATCAAGCTTAAATTGCTGCTCAACACTAATGAGCAGTGTATAACAGTGTTGGCTATATGTAAATGCACTAAGCTGTAGCAGAGTTTCCCCCTTCCCCTCTTAAGACAAATACTGAATTTGCATCCATTAAAGTAAATTAAAGAGTTAGGTGTCAATTAGTTGAGCTATATCATAAATTATGTTCATTTTAATGGTGTCATGATAGATCAGGCTTGACTCCAACCAGTTTATTAGTTTATTGGTCCAGCCAGCCATTAGAGTTTCTACAACCCTTTTTGAGGGTAGTCTGTTATAAATTCTCAAGTATAAATCAAACTTCTTGCATAGTCTGATATTGCTAAGTTGATACATGTTTCCCAAACATTGATGGACATGATTTAAATATCTCATTCAATGCTATTTTTAAAACGTGTAATCAATGCTCTACTGTACATGCTTGCTCATGTGTGCACTTGCTGCTATTACTGATTTAGATCTTAACATTTTGCAGATCCAAACGAAGATCCTTTTGCCAAAAGAAAAGAAAATAAGGAGAAAAAAATTGAAAAACAAGAAAGCAATAGGCTGAAGAACTTGAAACAAGCTGCCAAAGTTGGTGCTTTACCAAGTTTTTTCTCTAAACTTTCAATTAGTTGTTGAGGTGTTAATAGCACAGAAATTCAGGACTCTTCATTTGGTGGAAAACATAGTAGTTGTATACAGCTTCTATTTTATGCCTTATTGGGTGTATCCCACTTATATTCGTTTCTATGATAAAATTCTGTTTCTCATCTTGGCTATATAGTTTGCTATAGTAAAAGTCAGGTTATCTTTCTAGCAGGTAACCTGATACTATCAACTCTAAACTGATCATCTTTCAGATCTGTTATTGTTGGCACATTAACTACTTACTGCTCAATACAATCCTTTTTTTTTTAAATCCTATCTGTCTTGCCCATCCTCCAAATTTTGAGAAACTGAGTCACTTCCTATGCAGCCATATTCAACTGGCTGCTACAGCTTTGCCTATTACTGGAACTCAAACAGCACCCAAGAAAGTCCCCAAGGATGAACTAGGTAGTGTAGCTGGATTGGCAGCAACTGCAACAGCTAGTGGTGGGAAATTTGACAAGAAGTTGCCAGGTGAAAAGGCTGCACCGCATAATGGCAAATATCGCAAGGTTGTATGCTTATCCTCTTGCATGATACTACCTCCATTCTTATTTATAAGTTTTACTTCCTCCGGTCTTTATTATAGGGAATATTTTAGAAGGATTTTTTTGTTCGTAATTTAAGGCATGTGAAGGGTTAGTTATTACCATTTTTAAATTTTACCCTTAATGTAAATTTAATTATATGGCTAATTATATACTGTGTAGTGTGTATGTATGTCTCATTTGAAACAGGGGTAAAGTTGGAAAAATTATTCATTTTAAAACGTATTTAATGAATTAACTGTCATTCCTTAGTTCTGGTGGAGTAGTTAATAGTGCCTTATAATGGAAATTAAAGGGAGTACATGCTTTTTATGTTCTTATTTATAAATCATTCTGAAATATCTGTGAAGCAATTGATATTTTTTTCCCCCAATAATGCTATTGGTATGGATATAGTTGAATAATCATGGAGAAGAGAGGGACTGAGAGGGATGAGCGTGATTGGAGTACGAAATATTTTCTTTTGGTTTGAAAAATGGGGTACTTCGGCTAATTTTAGCAAACTACCTCAAATTATGTTAATTAGTTAAATGTGACTTATAAATAGAAATGGAGGAATAATATTTTTGTGCTGAAGCTTGTATGTAAGTGAAATGGTAAATTGCTGTGCTTTGTTTTATTTTGTCCAGTTCCTGCAAGTTGTGGAAGGATCAGGGGCTATATCACGGGAGAAGGAGCAAACTGAGAAAGTATTGAACAAGATTTTCTCTAGGCATTCCCATGAAACTCTTAATGTTGACAAGGTATGCATTATTCATTTAGTGAGAAATTCTTATGTGGACCCAGTACATCCTATTATTTATGATTTGTCCAATAAAAACATGCCATGTTAGATGGGGGTCAATATAAATTTATTCTGTCATTAATGATGTGAGAGAGAAAATAAGAAAAGAAATTCTGAAAATAAAGTCATTAAAAACAATAACACAAGATTTTATTTGATTGAATTGGTACTAACATGATATTTTTTATTGGATAAATCATAGATGACATTGTGCACCAAGTTCATATAAGAATTTTTCGTTTAATAACTTTGTTTCCAATTTTTACTGAAATTTACTTTTTTCTATTAAATTGTGTTATTTTGGAAACTAGGCTGTGGAGACATACAATGTGAAGAAAGAGAAAAGGCAAAGGAGTGAGAAAGTGAAGGCTGCTTCGGCAACCGGCAGCAAATTGAAACCTCAGAAAAAAATTCAGAAGTCTTCTAAAAAGGGAGGTTCCAAGAAAGGAAAGGCAAAATGAAAATTTAACTTTGGTTTCAAAGTAAAGTTTGCAGAGTATTTGACGCTAGGGTTTGAAACTTTGGCTGCTGCATTAGAGTTTCGTTTTGTAGGAATAATTCATCTCTTAAAAATACAATTTCTATTATTTGTTCATCTGCCTGCCACACCTATATATATATATATATATAATTGCTTTATATTCAAGGATCATCAGAAATACTCGATACATAGATAGATAGAAAAGAAGCCGTGGATTTATTTGTTGTAGCTTGTTTTGTTTTTTCTCCCATCTTACTGCATTTCAGTCGGATAAAAATAGAGTGGGTGAATTAAATTCAAGTATTTCTTGGAGATCAAAGTTGGAGTCTTTTTACATGTTTATCATTATTTAATAAAGGTCTTGATTAAAAAAAATTATTAGTTACGATTCCAAGTTAGGTATTTATTGAAAAATATTATTAATTGCAATTTCAGACATTTTTTATAAAAATGATTTATAATTTTGATTCTAAGTTAGGTATTTATTGAAAAATATTATTAATTGCAATTTTAGACAGACAGACAAACAAACAAACAACAAGCCTTTATTCCATTAGGTGAGGTCGGTTATATGAATTGTAAGACGTCATTGTGCTATATCATTTATCAAGCTTTTAATAATATTATTAATTAAGAGATCGCGTTTAATAACTTTCAAAAGTGTTCTCTTAGGCCTTTCTCTACCTCTCTTAATCGAACTCAAAGTTATATGTTTCACTCTTCTCACTGGTGCCTCCCTTGGTTTTCTTTGTACATGCCCAAACCATCTCAATCGATTTTCTATCATTTTTTCCTCAATAGGTGCCACCCTCACTTTTTTGTGTACGTGCTCATTTCGAATTTTATCTTTACGTGTATGTCCGCACATCCATCGTAACATTCTCATCTCTGCTACTTCAATTTTATGCTCTTGTTGTCTCGTTAGAGTCCAGCATTTACTACTATATAACATTGTCGGTCTGATAGCAGTGTGATAAAACTTTCCTTTAAGTTTATTAGGCACCTTACGGTCGTAAATAACTCCTTTAGCTTTCCTCCAATTAAACCATCCAGCTTGAATTCTATGTGAAATATCTCCACTGATTTCGCTATCATTTTGAATAATGGCTCCCAAATATCTAAACTTTTTCACTTGAGGTATAATTTGATTTCCCAATTTCACTTCCAAATTATTGTCAGATAGTCCTTTATCAAATTTATAATATAAATATTCCGTCTTACTTCTACTCAGACGAAAACCTTTCGACTCCAATGTCCTCCTCCATAACTCAAGTTTGCAATTAATCTCTTCTCTTGTCTCTGCTATAAGAACTATATCATCCGCGAAGAGTATACATTTCGAAATTTTCCCTTGAATATGTTCCGTCAAAACATTTAAGATCAAGTTGAACAAATAAGGATTTAGAGATGATCCTTGATGTAGTCCAATCTTTATAGGAAAATCTTTTGTTTAACCACTGGGCGTTCTTATACTAGTTTTTACCCCCTCATACATATCTTTTATGGCTTTAATATAAGCAATCTGTACTCCCTTTTTTTCTAACGCTTTTCAAAGCACTTCTCTTGGTATACGGTCATAAGCTTTTTCTAAATCAATAAAAACCATGTGTAGATCTTTATCTTTACAATGATACTTTTCTATTAATCCCCTTAGTAGATAAATCGCCTCTGTAGTTGATCTACTTGGCATAAAACCAAACTGATTCTCAGAAATACTTGTCTCCAATCTCAACCTGTGCTCAATTACTTTCTCCCACAATTTCATTGTGTGGCTCATGAGTTTAATCCCTCTATAGTTAGTACAATTCTGAATATCTCCTTTATTTTTATAAATAAGAATTAATGTACTTCTCCTCCACTCATCAGGTATTTTCTTGGACCGTAAAATCACATTAAATAACTTAGTTAACCATCTCACCCCTTCTTCACCTAAACATTTCCACACTTCGATAGATATACAATCAGGTCCGTTAGCTCTACCATTTGCCATTTTCTTAAGAGCTTTCTTTACCTCCTTATCACGTATTATTCGATAGAATGACAAATTTTGTTCTCCTTCACCAGTTACTAAATCCTCCAAGTTACTAGATGAACCCTCTCCATCATTGAAAAGTTTAGAAAAGTAAGCCTCCCATCTATTTTTAATTTCATCATCTGTAACTAAAGTTCTTCCCTCTTTATCCTTAATATACCTTACCTGTTCTAGATCTCTTGATTTTCTTTCCCTACTCTTGGTAATCTTATAAATATTTCGCTCTCCTTCCTTCGTCTCAAGGCTCTTATAAAATTTTTCAAAAGCTTTAGAACAAGTTTCACCCACAGCTCTTTTAGTTTCCTTCTTAGCCATACGGTACCTCTCCCAATTTTCCTCATTGTTACACAAATGTATGGCTTTAAAATAGTTCTTCTTATACTTAATTTTGTCCTGTACACTATTATTTCACCACCATGACTCCTTATCTCTCGGACCAGAACCTTTTAATTCTCCCAAAACTACTTTTGCAATCTCCCGTATCTTTTTAGCCATATCCTCCCACATGATGTTAGCATTTTCTTCAGATTCTCAAATTTCTTTATCCAAAAGATTTTGCTTGAAAATATCTTGCTTCTCACCTCTTAATTGCCACCACCTAATCCTTGGTGCTACTACTTGTCGACTTTTTTGGATTTTACTCATAATACACACATCAAGGACTAGGACCCTATGTTGTCTTGTTATAGCATCTCCGGAGATCACCTTGCAATTTTTACAAAGTCTTCTATTTGTGTTCCTAACCAAAAGAAAATCAATCTGTGACCTTGAGGCTCCACTTTTGTAAGTGATGAGATGCTCATCTCTCTTCTTGAAACAAGTGTTGGCAATCTTAAAATCATACGCCAATGAAAAATCAAGAAGAGTTTGTCCTTCATTGTTTAGCTCTCCAAAACCAAAACCACCATGCACCCTCGCATACTGACCAGCTTCCCTCCCGACATGCCCATTAAAATCTCCTCCAATAAAAATCTTTTCACTTTGTGGTATGTGTCGAATCAACCCCTCCAGATCCTCCCAAAATAATTCTTTAAGACTGGCTTCTGTCCCGACTTGCGGCGCATAAGCGCTAACAATATTAACAGTCTCACGTCCAATTATCATTTTTAAGGAAATAATTCTATCTCCAATTCTGCTAACTTCTACAAAGTTCTTCTTCCACTCCTTATCTATAATGATGCCTACTCCATTGCGCGCACTTACTTTTCCTGTATATCAAAGTTTGAAACCTTGAATATCCTTAGCTTCTTCTCCACGCCATTTTGTTTCTTGCAGGCAAAGGATATTGATTTTCCTTTGAATCATAACCCCTACAACCTATACAGATTTACAATTCAATGTCCCAACATTTCAAGTACCAAATCTAATTTTGCTCTCATAGTCTAGAATGACGCGGTAGCCCTTGCTCATTTAACACTACATCCGGGCGCCGATGCAGCGGCTCTACTCGAGCCATGCAGCGCGTTACTTACGGGCAACGACCTAACATTAACATTATAACGTCTATTGTCCATGTTCATGATAGATTCAACAAAGTTTTACATTGGCTGTTGATAGCCTAACACAATCCTCCTCTTTTATCCGGGCTTGGGACCGGCTATAGACATAGGCGGAGTTTTAATTGCAATTTTAGACATTTTTTAAAAATGACTTATAATTTTAAATAGAGCAAAGTGTACTAACTTTTAATTATAGAGATTGCCCTTCTATTTTTAAAATCTTTATAAACCTTTCTAGCTGTAAAAATTTGCATAACACACATTTTGTCTATTTTAAAGATTTTATTTTTATTCATTCAATCATTAATTAATTGTTAAATTATATATTTTAAATTAAAATAATCTCCTTTAGCAAAAATGTTATTTAAGAGTCGGTTAAGTTTTCAAATGATAATTATAAGTTGATAAAAATAATATTTAGGACATATATGAATAAATTTTAATATAAGAGATAAATTAATTAATATAATTTATGTTTATTTTATTAATGTTAATATAAAACGGAACACTTTTGCTCAATTATTAAAAATTGCAAACGTTGATTATTAACTAAAGTTTGATTAAGTTATTTTATGATTTTGCCTTCTTTTATTTTTGCATTTTTCAGTTTGCATTTTCATTCTTAAAAAAGAAAAGTTAAAGAATTCGTTGGAGAATAAAATTAGAGATTATATGTAGAAGGAAGGAGAAAAAATATAAAAAAAAAATCTTTGATCAAGCTTCAATTTGTGATTTTTAGCAGTGAGATGAAAATGTTTTGTTTTTGAAACTTCCAAAACAAAAATATTTTAAAAAAAGTTTAAAATGTTAGACATTCTTAAAAAATTTTTTTTAAGATATTTTTATCCTTTTAAGACTTTAACCTTTTTAACAACTTTAAGGGAGGATTTTGTATTTTACTTTTTAAAATATGATTCAAATAACCTTTGTAGGAGCACGCCTAAAATAAAAGAAAATTGTTGGCATCTCTTTGTAGAATACCTAGGCTTTTGTATGACGGTCAATTAGGGGGTTGGCAAGAGAATGAAGAACTCAATCCCTTTCAATTTTAGTCTGTCTCACACATTCACCAAGTTTTGTCTCGACGTCGCTTTGGAAGGACAATGATTAATTCCCTTAAATCAATTATAGGCTTCGGCCTCCGTTGGCTTAATATTATTTTTTTTTATAAATTTTTATCTTTCCTTTTCTTTTTTCCTATCATTTCCCTAGTTACATTTTGTAAGAAACTTTTTATTTATATGTATAGTATAATTTCTTTGAGACTCAAAATTTAAAAGACTGAACTGAGTTTATTTTTTTTTTGTTGAAATAGAAATTTTTAATAATTAAATAATTATAATATGGTAAATTGAAAAACTATTTTAAACATCTTCATTTAGTCCTATGTAATCTAATAAATTTTCTCTAATTCTAAAAAATTATGTCTAATTCCTTTTTGAATAGATTATCTCTACTTAGATAATTACATGCTGAATTTTTCACCATAGAATAATCTCATTCCAATATTAGTTAAATCTTAAAATAAAAATTGGATATTATAATTGTGTTATTCCATCTATATGTATAGAGAAGACTTTGCT